TATTTTGCTTTTAATTTTAGATGCATTGGTATGATTCAAATCTGTAAAGAAAATCTTCATGAATGTTATCTCTCTCCTGATTTCCCCCGACCTGCTCAGGTTCCACTTGATCCCAGCCTCACCACAGGCAATTTGACGCTATTTGTTTTGAATACTTCTTAAATTTCACATTATTGTAAAATTATATGTATTTCTCCCTTTTTACACAATATCCTTTAATACGGTCCCATCTCCTACTTTTTTCCTGTGAATGGTGTGTTTGGAGATACATTCATGTTGATAGGTGGAAAGGCTCCTTGTTTATTTTCTTTTTTTCTTGTTTTTGTTAGAATTTTTACTATGTAGATGAACCGGAGTATATTTAACCATTCCCCTAGTAATGGGCACTAGAGTTTTTTTGTGCTAGCAGGATGAGGTTGACAGACCAGTGGAAGAATTCACTAAGACAGAAGGCACCAGAAGTAGGGAGTATATAAGATACACAGTAGGTAGCTACCACAGGCAAGACAGAATAAACTGTCTTCCTAGAGGCATTCTAAAGGGCTGCTTTTATGAGGAAGCAAGGCTCCGTGCAGGCCAGGTAGTGTTTTTACAATGGTGCTCTGGTTATTAGATCTTACCAGGTGGAATACCCCTGTGGGGATCTTACTGTGGTGGTATAAACGTCCCTCAGGCTCAGATATTTGAACACTTGGTTTCTTGGTGACACCGAGGAGGATATGGAACATTTAGTAGGTTCAGCTTGGCTGGCTTTGGGTGTTTATAACCAAACGACACGTCTAGTTCCCCCTCTCTGTTTTGTGTTTGCAGTTAAGAGATGAGATCTCTCCACTTCCTCCTCCAGGCACAAGATGCCATACCCCACCCCCACTGCCCACATGATAGACAACAGCCTTCTGGAACTGTAAGCCAAAATTCTTCCATGGGTTGCTTACGGTCATGATATTTTACCACAGGAACAAAAGGTAATGGAGATACATTTAGTTTTCTTGCCTGTTGCTGTGAGAAAATGTCCTGACAGAGCCAGGTGTGGTGATGCATGCCTTTAAGCACCTGGGAAGCAGAGACAGGCAGGTCTCTGTTAGTCTGAGGCCAGCCTGGGGTACATGGGGAATTCCAGGCTAGAGGGGGCTTCATAGTAAAACCCTGCCTCCAAACAACAACAAAACAAGCAAATTAACAAATTCTAACAAAACTATTTAAGGGAGAAAGGGTTAACGGGGCTCAGGGTTCCAGGCTCTAGGCCATCATGGCCGGGGACTCAGCGCAAGAACTTGAAGGAGTTGGTCACATTGCACCCACACAGTTAATCAAAGACAGAAGAATGTATGCTGATGTTCAGCTCCTTTTCTCTATTTACACGGTCAAGGGGTCCTGACACAGGAAACGTCCCATCCACACTTAAGATAGGTCCTCACCCATCAATTAACACGATCAGATAATCTTCTATAGCTCCACACCAAGCTTTCCCTGGTCACTCTAGATTCTGTCAGGTTGACAATTCACACCAAACATCACAGGCTCATATCCAGATGGCTAGAGGGGCAGCTTGTCGTTTGGTGAAGGAATGAGTTCTACTGTAGTGTCATGCTGCCCGAAGACAGATTAGCCGTTGGAGAACTCTTTCAGACCATACTTGGAGTGAACAGCAGCCTTGCTCAGATCATATCTTGTCCTGGGGCGTTGACAGCTCCATCCTTAGGCTCGGAAAGTTCAGCACAGCCATCTGTCCCGTATCCCAGAACAGCTTCCTGTATTTTGTTGTTATAAAGGACACTCTCCAGAATGAGCATGTACTTGTTTCATTTTATAAGTGTGTGATGGTTATTCTTGGCTGTCAACTTGACTAAATCTGGAATCAACTACAATACAAAAATGGAGGGCACATCTGTGTGGAGTTTTTGCTTAAATTGAAGTAGGATAGATTGACTTTTAATATGGATCATAAAGCAGGAAGACATGCCTTCTGCTGAAAGCCCATGGAAGGACATGGAAGGAGGAAGCTTTTGCTCTTTGCCTGCTTGTCCTCACCTTGCAAGCATGTCCAATTGTTCACTGGCATTAGAGCCTATTTCTTTGGGATTCCAGTGTATAATGAAGGCCAGCTGAGACATCCAGTCTCTCAGAACAACTACTGGATTCTTGGACTTTCAGTTCACAGTTAGACATTGCTGGATACACAGTAGTTAGCCCACAGCCTGTAAGTCATTGTAATAAATCCCCCATATATATATATATATATATAGAGAGAGAGAGAGAGAGAGAGACAGAGAGAGACAGAGAGAGACAGAGACAGAGAGATTCATTGTATAAGTTCTGTTACTCTACAGAACCCTGATTATTACAAAGTATCTTTATGGATAAGCTTTCAGAAGTGGGGCTGTTGGGCTAACAGGTTTGTGTGCATTGATACTCATCTCAGATGATCCCCTCATTGGTCTGGCAATTGGTGTCCAGTTCCTGTGGCCTCACCAACAGAGGATTTGTTTCATTTCCTTTGTTTTTTGCTTTTCGAGACAGGGTTTCTCTGTGTAGCCTTGGCTGGCCTGGACTGATTTGTAGACCAGGCTGGCTTTGAACTCACCCCGTGCCTCTGCCTCCCAACTGCTGGGATTAATGGAGCAGGCTATCATTCCTGGCTTGCTTTTCTTCTTTCTTTCTTTCTTTCTTTCTTTCTTTCTTTCTTTCTTTCTTTCTTTTCTTTCTTTCTTCTTCCTTCCTTCCTTCCTTCCTTCCTTCCTTTCTTCCTTTCTTTCATGCTTCCCAGTCACCAACAAAAATGTTCTTAATGTTTGTTCACTTGATGTTTTGTTTTGTTATTACTGTTGTTGCTTTTCTTGTTGAAAACAGGATCTTGCTGACCTAAAACTTAGAACTCACCCTATAGGTCAGACTGCTTTAAGCTTGAGGCAGTCCTTGTATCTCTGTCTCCAAAATCCTGTGTCTCAAAGTTTCAAACTGAAATTTTCTTTGTAGAAATAAAGTTGACTTTTTAATATATATATATATATATATATATATATTATCAATACCTATTTTTATGTTCTTAGCATTGAACCTTATTCATTTCTATACTGATTAATGGAACTGATTAATTATTGCCCTCTGGAAGATTTCAGAATACCAAAGCGATTAACCCTTTGTGGTTATGTTTTACTCTTAATCAAGTACCTTTTGATTTTGCCTGAGGTGATTTCTCCAGCCAACATTTTTATTATTATTATTTTGCAATTTATTCACTTTGACCAGCCAACATTTAAAAAAAAATTAATGGAGTCTGTTCTCTTTCACTAGCGGGCTCTGGGAATCCCCAGGCTTGAAAGCTAAGCTCTTTCACCTGCTAACCCTGCTCACCTGCCCCTCCAGTCAACGTTTTTCATAAGTACTGTTTCTGGCTTTTGAGAAATTCTTTACTCCACAATTAAAAAGAATTTCTCCATATTCTCTTCTCTTTTGTGTTGCCGTGATTAAAATTTTCTGCTTTTTTAAAAATTTGAAATCCATTCAGGAACATGAGCTATAGATACAATTTATACTGTTTCTGATAGCTAAATCTTGGCCCCAGTAACCATTTAACGATACTTCCTTATTCTCAGTTAGTCATTTTTGTTCGCTGTGGCAAAACTGGTGGGAAAAGCCAGGCATGGTGGTGTGTGTCATTGATCCCAGCACTTGAGAGGCAGAGGCAGGCAGATCTCTGAGTCTTTGTAGTCTCTGTGCTGCCAGCTGTCAGGCCGGCAGCCCAGATGTCAACACGTAGATGTAAGCAAACCTTTAAGATTCAAATTATAACACCCAGTGACTTAAAGACTTCTAGATTTTCATTTCATTGTAATTTCGTCACATTTCACTGTAATCTATGCACTAGTGAGCTTATTGGCTGCAGCCCTTGAATGGTTTCGTAGCCCCTTCTTTACTACTCTCTATTCTCAAACATTTCCTGGAATGTATGCTTGGTGTTGATTTCTCTGCTGTGTGAAGCCAGTGTGGTTTGGGGCTTGCTCTTAGTGCTTGGTGTTTCCTGGCTCTTTCGACACACAGACAAGCCTATCTGGGTGAAAATCTTGTAGTGGCAGTGGAATGGCGATGAGTGATCAAAAAGAAGAGGGGGTGGAGAGACGCCTCAGTGATCTCTGCCCTCCCCCCAGGCAGCGTTTCTCTGCATAACCCTGGCTGTCCTGGAACTCACTCTGTACAAAAGGCTGGTCTAGAACTCAGAGATCTCCCTGCCTCTGTCTCCCGAGTGCCACCACTGCTAGGGGAGACAGCTCAGTGATTATGAATATTACTCCTTGCTCTTACAGAAGAATTGAGTTCGATTCCTAGCACCCATGAGGTGATTTCACAACCATCTGTAACTCGGTCTTCTGACCTCTGTCAGCATTAAGAAGATACATGGCAATGCACATATATAAATGGAGGCGAAGCACTCACACATACAATAAATGTATCTTTTTAAAAGGGGGTGGGAGGTCCCAGAGATGGCTCAGAGCAGTTGCCCACACCCACGTAAGGACAGCCCTCAACCTCCTGTAACTCCAACAGGACAGGATCGCACGCCAGCACTCTTGTGTGAAAACCCACTCACAGCTACACACTTAAACGCGTAAGTAAAAATAAAATCGTAGGACTGTGCACGGTGGCTGCCGTTTTAAAGCCAAGACTCTGGACAGAGGCAGGCAGATCTGTAAACTCAAGCCCAAAATCCTGGTCCAAAACGAGGCAGCAACGAAGAGAAGAAAAACTTAAAAACAAAAGCAAAGAACAGAAAAAGTAATTATTAAGTAAGCACGCTGCGACGCGGCATCCATTTCATTCCCAAGTTACTACGGGCCATAGCTGTTCTACCACGCCGTCTCCAACCGGGTTTTGACTGCAGCCTGGGCTGAGGCTCGCCACCTAGGCGCGCGTCCCAGCATCCGGGAACCTCGCGGGCGCGGGCGCGCGCGCGCGCGGCTGCGTCACGTGCCCGTCCCGTCCCCGGCCGGCGCGCGGCGGGCGGAAGTGAGGTCGCGGGCTGCGGTGTGTGCGCAGCGTCGGCGGTAGCGCGGGCCGCGGCACGGCGGGCGGGAGGCAGCGCGGGCCTAGCGGTCGACCGCCAGCGAACGTTGTCCGGGCACTGCCCGTCGCCGAGCCTCACGCCGTGCCCGCTCGGGCCGGCGCGCGCCGGTCCCGGAGGCGCAGGCCACCGTGAGTACGGGAAGCCCGGGGGCGGCGGCCCGGGGTGGGTGCGGGCCGGAAGTGCGGCGCTTTGTGCAGCGCCTGGTCGGGCCGCGCGGGGGGCGCCGCTTTGTCCGAGGCGGCCCGGGGGCGGGGCGGCTTGTGCGGGGCCGGGCGGGAAGGTCGCGGGCCGCCGCCGACCCAGCGTCCCCTCTCCGGCCGGAAAGCGCAGGCTCTGGAGGGTACCTCGGCGAGGAAAGGACGTTCCGGGGCATGGCCCAGGTTAATCTGAATAAAAGAGAAGGACGTCCTGCGAGCGCGTCCGCGCCTGGCTCTTGCTTTGTGTGAGCCGGTGTTTAATCAGTCACGTAAATATCTTGGGGTGTTTTTGCGTGCAGGAAGGTTTCCTAGGGAAAAGGCTCACACGTCTGCGTGTGCACACATTAAAATTTTAAACAAGAAAAAAATGGTTTGTGTAGTTCCTACACCTTCTCCCCTTCGCCTTGTGTAAGATGAGATGACTTTTCCGAAGGATGACAAGATTTTAAATTAAAGGAAGTTCTGGTGCAAGCAGTTAGAAAGACAGCCTTTAAAACTTTGGTAGGTTAAGAGGTAATGGGTGGTTTTTGCTTTGACAGCCAAGATTTGAGAAATCGAGGACTGTTTTCCTAATGCTGAAGCCACCGTCGTGGAAATTGTTGGGGATTTTGCTTTGTATAAAGCAGTCTTTGTATAAAGCAGGCTCTTTTGGGTAATGTCTGTAGTTTACTCTTCCTGCATTTTGGAATGTTTTGACATGCAAGAAAACCTTTAATGATGTTAAAATTAGTTGTGACCAGAACCAAATGAAAGATTTGAGTTTCGTGTCTCAGCATTCACCTAGGCGGTGATTGCGGAGCGTTTGTTTGAATCGCCTTCCCCTAAGGGTGGAAGTGACCCTCTGTTTAAAGCAGGGGCCTGGAACCTAGGAGGGAAGGCAGCTGCTCTGTGGTTCTTGCCTTCTTACAAGCCTCAGATTGGTTTGGGCTAGTTCTTTTGGACCATTTTAATGTTAGACAGGCTTGAGAAAGTTTTTTAAAAAGTGCATTTTAAAAGGAATTTCGGAAGATCTCGTGGTTTAAAGATGTTGTCTTCCTAACTTGTCTTGTAGGTAGTTGATTTTTATGGACTAGTTGAGAACAGTTTCAAAGCATGAGTATAGCAGTGTTTCAGTAGTGATACCTGCCTCTCTTTGTTCGGTACCTTTTGACATTGTCCTGGGAGGTTGCAAACTGCCGTGAAAGCTGAGTTTGGAAGACTGGAGGGTTTTCTTGTGAGATGGACTCTCCTTGCTATCAGATATAACTAAAATTTTCCAATAGTATTTTTTTTCTAAAAATCTGTAACTTATTTAATTGTCTGAGTTTTTATAGATAGAGGCAATTAAAACACACCGAAATCAGTGCTGATACGAAACACCCAAACTATCAGACCTTTAAAATTTTGCAGTTACCACCTCAGCTAAACACCAATGTTAGGTCATGGTATAGGGGCTGGAGAGATGCCTCGGCAGTTGAAAGAGCTTCCTGATCGTGCGGAGGACTTGAGTTCTTTTCCCAGCACTGCTTCAGGCGGCTCCCAGCCTGTAACTCCAGCTTCAAAGGACCACCTTCTTCGGCCTTCATGAGCACTTGCGCACACTGTCTTCACTCAGAAGGCACATAGGCAAATAAAAATAATAAAATCTATCTTGAGTGCCTTCAGTGGGAGGGTTGATTTTGTAATCTTGTCTTTCCCCTCCTGGAGCTGAGGACTGAACCTAGAGCCTTAAGTCCTCTATCAGTAAGCTAAATCCCTAACCACATAAACACAAATTCCAAAAATCTCAGGGAGGCCTTCCGTTCACATCAAGGTATGCTTGTGATGACTGTTGAGTGTTCCCATGAGGTCTTGCAGCTTTTTGTGGTTTGGTTTGGTTTGGTTTTGATTCTTTTAAGACAGGATTTCTCTGTGTAGCCAAGGCTGTCCCGAAACTCACTCACTCTGTATACGGTGCTGGCCTCTGCCTTCAGAGTGCTGAGATTAGAGGCGTGTGCTACCACTAGCCACCTTCTTGCAGAGTTTTTACAGGTAAGTTCAGGATTGGTTTGTTGATGGAGGCATCAAACCACCCACAGCATTCCCACAGTTGAGTAATTTCAAATGGGAAACCTAAGAATCCTACCCCTGCGTGGAGTCCAGGTGCTTCGTCCATACCAGCTCAGGAGAGGGATTGTAGTTGCCGTGTGACCAGTGGCACCAGAATACCAGGTGGACTAGTGCCCTGGGTCTTCCTTTGCTCTTTATACACACACTTAAAAGTACAGAGACTCTGTAGCTATGTTCCCTGCTGCAGTAAAGTTTACTAGCGTTTTGCAGTATATGCCCTTTTTAAAAACAATGCTTTAAATTATAGATATTCATATTGTTACATTCTTCTGTGTTTCTAAAAATTGACATATTGGCTTATGAACGGTACTGTTAACCATAGATAGCAAACTGTGCTATTGGGTACCCGGCCTGTGTTCACTTTTGTGTTATATCATTAAAATATACATATATTTCTTACAGATCTTTTCATATAAGTCATAACCTAAACAAAATGTACCAATTGTCTTTAGTATAAATCTAATTTTACCTGGAACATCCTCCCTCACTTGTGTGCAGACCACTGGAGAATAGACATTTGTCCTTGAGAATGCCCTTCCTTTTGGGTTTGTGTGATTAGCTTCATAGTCCTATTCCACTTATTCCTCAAACTCCCTGGCTTTCCTGTAAACTGGGCATTAGGTGCTGGCTCCAGCTGACGCTAGGAGAAGTGCTCTTGGGGGGAGAGGGGTTGAGTGACATAGATTCCTGACATGTGAGGGTACATGCAGTGTAAATAGTTTGATCCAGGGGTAGGTTTACATTTCATACCTGCTAGCCAGGTGTCCTTCGATAATATGACTCAAATTAAATTTTGTTATCAGTGTTGTGCGCACTGGCTAGATGTTTGTGAGCCCCTGTGCTGAGCACTGGGATGCAAGGACACAGGACGAAATGAAGTGTTTTCTCCTGCTTTTGCACTGAAGGTCTTTGAAGGAATCTCAGCATTGAATAAATAATTTAAAGGAAGACTTGTGTTTGGCACAAGACTGTTACTGGTTTTCTTTCAGCACACTAACATATTCTGCCAAATTGGAAGGGGAGGGAACTGCAATCTTTTCTTCTCTCCATCCTACACTGTTTTTGGTACTCAAGTAGAACCTGGGCTTCCAAAATGCTAGACAGCTGGGTGCACTGCCTCTTAGTTGTACCCCAGTCCCAGCTTTCAGTTCATTCCTTAAGACTTCCTCGTCACACTAGGGAAGGTGTGTCATTAGCCTCTGGAGCGTCTGCTTTCCCTAAAATGCCTCTTGTCCTTTCTTGGTTCTGGCAGTGCTGCCACGGTTCTTCTCATTGCTGCTCCTCTTTTTTTTAGAGGAGTTCCACCAAAGTTTGCTGTCTGCACTCAGCCCTCAAAGCACCCTTTTCTCTTTTGGCTCTTACCATGATTTGTCCCAAACGACCAGTAATCATGGTTTTTGTTTATTTGTTTGTTTGTAGTTTTTTTAAGCACCTGACAGTAGCTATACTCCACGTTAAGTGAAACAAAGATCTCATTGTCTTAGATGGGTTCCCCATTGCTCTGAAGAGACACCGTGGACAAGGCAACTCTTATAAAGGAAAAACAAATTGGGGCTGGCTTACAGTTTCTGAGGCTTAAGTCTGTTATCATCATAGCAGGAAACATAGCAACATCCGGGCAGACATGGTGCTGGAGAAAGAACTGAGAGTTCTACAATTTGATCTTCAAGCAGCAGGAGATTATCACACTGTCCTACCTTGAGCATGTGTCAGCCCAGCCCCGCCTCCACAGTGACACGCTTCCTCTAACAGTGCCACACCTACTCCAGCAAGGCCATACCTGGTAATAGTGCCACTTCCCATGGCTGAGCATTCAAACACATGAGTCTGTGGGGGCCATATTTATTTTAATCGCCACACTCACCTACCATATTAGAATAGCAAAGGTCTATATTCTCTTTTTTGCAAAAAGTATTGGATGGTGCTTTTTCTAGATGGTAAGCTTTGAAGGGAACTGTGACTTGCTTTTCTCAGTGGCCTTTACAGGGCACTGTGCTTATCTTAACTGAGAAAGGAAAACACACTTGTTGCTCTGGAGAACTAGTTTGGAAACAAATTACTTCTTGGGAAATGACAGTTGAAGCAGAAGCTGCATGCAGTTCAGAGGAATGGGGATTGTTGACAGTTTCTGTGTTCTTAAAGTGTGACAAAACACAACTAACTTTGCTTCTGGTATGCCTTTGGCCCATGTTTTTTCCATGCATAGGAGGCAGGGTTTCTTCTCTGTGTTGTCCTGGCTGTCCTGGAACTCCCTCTGTAGCCCAGGCTGGCCTTGAACTTGGAGATCTGCCTTTCTCTGCCTCCTGTGTGCTGGGATTAAGGGCATATGCATCACCACCACCAGCTTTTATATTTACTTTTTTAAAAGAGCAATTTTGGGGGCTGGGGAGATGGTTCAGCGGTTACTAGCACTTCCTGCTCTTAAAGAAGGCCCAAGTTTGGGTTCCTAGTACCTACAGCAGATTCCCCCCAACCCCTGCGGCTTCAGCTACATGGGGTCCAGCATGCTCTCTGGCCTCCGTGGCCACCTGCATCGGCAGGTGTGCACCCCACGAGTGTGTGTGCGCATGCACACACACACCTCATAAATAAAACTTTAAAAGAGCAACTTCAGGTTTCACATCAAAGTAAGCAGCAGTGGTTTCCCTTACACATCTGCCATCTTAAATTAAAGTTCACCTTAATTTTTAACATCTGAGTCGGTGTGATTTACCACATGAAGAATAGACTTGATCTCCTTGGGTGATAGAACTAAAAGCCATTTCTTTGAGATACTTGGGGAAATGTTACTTTTGAAGATGGGCTAGAATTACAGTTGTACAAATTCTGAATCTTTACAGGAGAAAACAGTAAATGTCAGAACACTGAGTAGGTTGAAGAGGGGCTAGACAGGAATCTTTCAGGAAAAAAATGTGTTTAAAGAAGTCATTTAGTCATGGCTGGAGAGATGGCTCAGTGGCTAAAATCACTATCTGCTCTTCCAAAGGACCCGAGTTCAACTCCCAGAACCCACATGACAGCGCACAACTGTCTGTAACTCCAATTCCAGGTGGTCTGACACTCACATCAAATGCATATAAATTTTTTTTTTTTTTTAAAGAAGTCGTTTAGTCAAGATAGAGAAGTGGAAAACAGCCACCAACCCATTCCCTGCATGTCTTGAGGGGCCACTGTTTGTGTGCTGTGTGTTTCTTTCAAGAATGGCTGCACTTGTGCTGGGGTGCACCTGCCCATTTGCAAGTGTAGATGGCACCTTAGTGCGTGGCGCAGTGTTGCACCTACTGTTTACCACATCATTTTGGGTTGTGTTTGTCTATTGAGACAGGCTCTCACACAAGCCTAGACTGACATTAAACTTACGGCACCCCTCATGCCTCAGACTCATGAATGCTGGAATTAAACATGCGAGCTATCATGCTTGGCTCATTTTTTAAACCTTTTCCTCATTTTCTAGTAGGCAATTGAAGCCAGTGTCCTGCACATTCTAGATTAAGGACTCTAGCTAAGAAAGACTCACACCCTTTAAACTCTTAAAGCAGTTGCATAAAATTAATGTTCTGAATATGTTCTGATTTAATTCTCTGTTACAGGGGCATTGAGGTTAATTGTAGAATTTTCAGATTTTAAGCTGGGACATAGTAGGTATCGTTTCCCTTAGTTCTAGTGGATTGAAGACAGTTAGGAAGAAAAAACCAGATGGGGCACCTATGGTTATTGGGTCATTCAGCGCTTATTTTCTGTTCTCTCTTGGTTGGGAGCAGCAGAAAACACAGTTTTATAGTAGACTAGAATAACATTTGCTGCCTGCTTTTTTGTGACTAATGGAGAAAATTCTAGAAGCAAAAACTTGGCTAAATCACCTTTTTTCCCCCCCTTTTAGTTCCTGAAATCATGAATCCTGTTTATAGCCCTGGGTCTTCTGGGGTTCCCTATGCAAATGCCAAAGGAATTGGATATCCAGGTAAGCAAGTTGAATTTTGTTTTTATTATTGAACTTTGAGCAGTATTTATGTCCATGTAGCATACACAAATATAGTGGATACACTAGCTAATTTTATGACAGCTAGATGCAACTTAGAGCCATTTGGGAAGTGGGACCCTTAACTGCAAAAATGCTTACACCAGATTGCCTGTGGAGCATATTCTTGATTTATGGTTACTGTAGGCAGTGCCACCCCTGGCCCTGGGCTGTGTAAGAAAGCAAACTGAACAAGCCATGGGAAGCAGGCCAGTAAGCAATGTTCCACCATGGCTTTTGCTCTAGGTTCCTTCCCTGACTTCCCTTCACGCTAGACTCTAGGATGAAATAAATCCATTCCTCCTCTGAATTGCTCTTTGTCATGGTGTTTTATCACAGAAATAGGAGCCTAAGACAGTGGACAAACCTAACTTGAATTAGGGAAGGCAGGAAGGATACATGAAAAAGAAAAATCAAGAGACGCCTTGCCTTCCCCAGAGCTGGTATCTCCAGTAGGTGTGGCCAAGACCTTTTTTCTTTACCTCTTAATTCATCCCACTTTCTTAGTGTTTGTGAGGTTCAGCCTGTTTCAGTAGGAGCCTCATTGCCATATAAGAAAGCCCAGTGCAGTTTCACAGTCTCTTTTCATACCTCTCTTGGGGGTTGTTTTGGTTGAATATAACTTCCATCTCCCTGGACAGGGAGGGGATCCTATTGAATAGCTTATGAATATACCATATCCTTGCTTGCCTTTTACTTATATTGCATTTTGTAGGTGCAATTTACCTATCCATAGAGAATGGAGTCAGAGCTCAGCTGAAGGAGGCCATAAAGCAAAAGTTTGGGGAACTGGAACTTTGGTCAAAAAGTGCAGGTGGTTGTCTTAACTGGTGACTAAACAAGAAGTAGATATTTGTACTGTAACAGTTTCGTTTTGGTCCTTCCTCTCTGCGTACTGATGATGGAACCCAGAGCCTGTTTGTGCTACCTAAGTGTTACTGCTGACAGTATCTTTACCCCTTTTGTGTTTTGAGACAAGGATTTTGCTATGTTATTTAGTCTGGCCTTGAATTCAATGTCTAACTGAGGTAGAACTTGACTTTGTGATCTCTGTCTCAGCCTCTGAAGTAGCTGCTGTCACAGACTTGCCACCATGCCCAGCTTTCATTATGGGTTTTGAAATACTATTACTGGGGAAAACCTTGTTGGTACAAAACTCATAAGAAAATGGAATAAATCTGAATTTGGAAGGGGGAAGATTTTAAAACTTGTATTCGGTCAGATATGGATGCAAACCAGCTCATCCAGGAAGTTATAGCTATAGCGTCTGTCCTGGAGCATTTGCCACTGTTTTAACAGCCCACACAGGGACAGAACAGAAGGCTTAGAATTCTCTGAGCACAAGGAGTTGCTCAGCTTTCTTTTCAAGTACTCTCTCCTGAGAGTGGGCCTGCCACCAAAGGGCTGGATAGAGAGTCTATTTGCTGTGCTCAGAAGGGGGCCAGTGTGTCTGCCTGAGCCCTTAGAAGGGCAGTCTTTCCGAAGTGCTTCAGGGGTGTCGGCTCTAGTGTGTGTGTTACTGCTTACAGTAACTATGGTGTTTATAGTCACCATTGCTTTTTCTGTTGACATATTTCTGAAACGTGTCATTTGAAATAAATGTGCAGCTTTATTACTGACTGGGCGAGAGGGTAATGTGTGTGGGAGGTATGCGGGTGGGCGGGTGGGCAGGTGTAGTGGGGTGATACGTGGATGTGTGTAGTCTAGGGCTGGGATGTGGGGGTGTTGATACCTGTTTTGCTTTTGTGTTGTCTATGTAATTTCTGCTGAATATGTTTCTTACAGTGTCTACTAAATATAAATTTTGTATATTGAAATGATAAAATTAATATCTAAAGGTGGTGGTGGCACACACTTTTAATCCCAGCACTCAGGAGGCAGAGGCAGGCAGATCTCTGAGTTTGAGGCCAGATTGGTCTACAGAGTGAGTCCAGGACAGCCAGCAGGGCTACACAGAAAATTCCCGTCCCCCAAAAAACCCAAAATAATTAATTAATTAAATTAATCATTAATTAGTTGATATCTTCATTGTTTCCAGAATCCAGAAGTATGAGATTAAGGTATCATCAGGACTGTTTTCCTTCCTTCGGGAACTCTGAGCAGAGTCCATTGCGTGTCTCTAGATGGTGGCACTTTAGACTACCTTCATCTTGTCGCCTGCTGGCTATCACTCCACCTTTCCCTGTGCTCACATGCTCTCTTCCTTGACCGTGTGCAAGAACACTTGCTGGGTTTATGGCACAGCTGTATGTTTAGTCTTTTTCCATAAAGGTTCTAGTCATAAGCTTTCAGGGATCTGGTTCATCTTTTGGGAGGAACTCCCCCATCCCACTTTTTTTTTTCCCCTACAACACTGAATACAAATTTTTATATTGGCAGCTACTTTCTCTCAGACTTTAAAGACTTAACTTTAAAGATATAACATGAGGGAATTACGATTTTGTGGCAGTTATTGAAGAGGCCTATGGCGTATGGTCTAGTTTGTGGCATTTCTGGCTTTTCAAAAATAAATCATTGAAAGTTTTTGCTCCTAACTGGTTCTCTGGTTCCTAAGCAGTGTTCTGAGGGTGAATGGATCCTGCTTGACCAGGCTTGCTTTGGGCCTCTAGCAGCTTTCAGGGTTGGTCCACAGGACACTGATGAAAACCATTGCCCTTGACATCCACAATACGTGAAGTTGACTCAGGTACTGCACACTCGATGTCTTCCTGACTGAAGAAAACAAGTGGAAATGAAATGGTCCAGAAAAGAACCTGACCAGTTCTACTGCGGTAGAGGAGGATCCAATTGAAGAGCAAGGGAAGCCGCATGGAGGCTCCGGGTTCATGGGAAAGAGAACTGAGCCCTGGCAGAGATTCCTGTGCATTCTAGCGCAGACCTTAGGGTTGTTTGGGAAGGCTTTGTGAAACAGGAGTATCATCAGGCAGTGAACTTCATTTTAGGACAGTGTGGCTCTTAGCAGCTTGTCACCATGTGGATCGCCGGGTTGGTTTGGCTGATCTAGCTGGCCAGGCAGGTCCCGCTGCCCCTTACCAGTCCTGTGTGTTTTTCCCAAGCTATGCACTCAGGTGACTTTCCCTGGTAGAGCAGTACCGGTTTCAGTAAGGCAGTGCTTCTCACTTTGGGCTTTGTGTAAGTGAATTTTTTTGTTCCCCTTTACTGGGTTTTGTTTTTCTGTATACATCTCTGTAGGCCCCTGTGGGTTGAATGACCCTTTCACTGGGCTCTAAGGCTCAGTAGTAGAGGGCTTGCCAATCATGTGTGGCTCTTAGTTGTGTTCTATCATACGCACACATGCACACAGGAGCTGTACTCATGAGGACTGTCTCTCTGGAAGTTAGCTCAGGTGCTCTGCGCTCTTCCCCTAGTTTTCACCTAGCCCTGAGTGTCTTCACTTTGGGACATTCCCTACAGCTTTATGACACCAACTGCCTTCAGCCCCAGCATTTGGGAGCTACAGGTAAGAATCACAAGCTTCAAGGTCCTTCTCTGTTACATGCGGAGATTGAGGGCAGCCTGGACTATATGAGGTCATGTCTCACAAAACAAAAAAAGAGAAGGGGGAAAAAACACTTTGAGTTCCCCTGAGGATACCTTCAGGCTACCTCAGCATAATCTTGGTAGGAAAAAGATGCCCCGCACCTCACAAGAACTGTGGTAGTAGTCAGGGCTCGTAATGCTAGTTTCTGTGCCCTGAGGGTATGAAAGCTTCCTGCCGTCCTTCTGTCTGGTCAGGCAGAAGGGGGCACAAGGAATCCTGGGCTCTGAGGAGGGTTGGATGGGTACCTGAGGCTCTATTTTCTGGGGAACACCACAGGGGCAGTATTCTGTTAAATACCTTATTGATAACTTGTGCCTGTGTGTTTGTGGTTATTCTGATTAAAGACTCATGTGTTACTAAAAGTAGTGTTGGGTGCTCGAGACATGGCTCAGAGGTTCTGAGCACTTACAGAGGACCTGGCTTCTGTTCTTCATGCTCAAGCAGTAGCTATTACCGTCTGTAATGTCTGTTAGCACCAGTGGTTCTTGTCTCAAGGGCACCTTACTCAGTGCACATACAGATAAGCAGGCTATGGTGGCACATGCCTGTAAGTATCAGCATTCTATAAGCAGTGGCAGGAGGATCCTGTCTCAAAGAGAGCAAACAGATGCTCTTGCTTATATGTGGATTCTGATTGTGTTTTCCCATTCTGGGCATTTTTGAGGTTAATTAGAGTCCCTTTAGTAAGAAGACTTGAGTTTAATGATGTTGACAACCTGGGCTTCTCACTGGCCACGTTGAACTGAGGAAGCTGGGGATTAGAACCTCAGAATGTGAAGACGACTGAAATGAATTTAGAAGTTTAAAACAGTGCATAAGAACAACAACAACAAATTACTAGCTTTTAACTACAGTAATGTGGAGCCAGTCATGATGGTGCACGCCTTTAATCCAAGCACTCAGTGGGCAGAGGCAGGTGGATCTGTGTTAGTTTGAGGCCAGCCTGGTCTACAAGGAGAATCCAGGACAGCCAGGGCTACACAGAGAAACTCTTTGAAAAAAAACAAACAAAACCATGCATACAATAATGTGACTTTGTCTCTGCAGTCACTGAGAATGTAGCCTAAACCTCCCACCCCCAACCATCAGAACAGTGTAGATTCTAGGGTGGCTCCAAGCTCACTTTAAATCCTGTTTCTTCCGACTTTGTGCAGTGAAGCCAGGGGAGAGTCATGACCCAGTGCTTGATGTCGAACACTCTTGATGACTCAGACCATGTGATTCTGGGGTGAACCTGCCAGGGGTGTTAGGGTTTTAAGACTTCACCTTGGATTTATTTTTTTCTTCTCCCCTCTTCCCTTCTTCCTTTCCCTTCTTTTCCTGCTGCTTAAAATTATGGCTTAGCTATTCTTTTTATCTGGACAGGGTTTTGCTGTGTAACCCTCACTGGCCTGAAACTCAAAACTGTCTACCTTTGCCTGGCAAGTGCTAGGATCTAAATGTGCACCACCATAGCCGCCTTTACGTGCCTGATCTTATGTAGTTTCTTTGGTCCTGGGATTGGACCTAGGGCATCACACATGCGAAGGGTGCACTCTGCACTGAGTTACACACCTCCCTGATTCAGTTATTCTGAACAGTGGACTGCTGACTCAGTTTCTGATTTTTTTTTTTCCTCCTAGTTGTACAATGTGAGTACTTATTTATAGATCTCACAGACTGGGTTATGTCTATGACTCATCAAACTTCTGAGAAAAGAAGATGACTCAAGACAATTTTGTTTGAGCACAGTGTGTGAAGTTCAAAAACAGCTATGAGGGAGCCTGGTGGTCAGGTGGCTACACTTCCTTGATGATGCTATTGTGCTGTCTGTTTCCCTGCAGCTGGTTTTCCTGTGGGCTATGCAGCAGCGCCTGCCTATTCACCTAACATGTACCCCGGAGCAAATCCTACCTTCCAAACAGGTATGTACTGCATGACAGATGTCTTGTGTACAGTTGGTGGGAGGGTGTGGAACTGTGGTTTGTGGTTGGGTGGCTTTCTACATTTGGAAATGAACCTGTTAATGAGTGTAGTCAAAGCTTAGGTCTCGGTACACAAAAGCTTTGCTTTACGGAGTTTCTCAGGCCCGCCCACCAGTCTCTGGGCTGTACCTCTTTTTATGGTAGGACGTACTACTAGCAACTGGAGGCCATTTAGTCATTGAGCTCTGTCCACAGTGCTGTGGTTATGTTTTTAAAAGCCAACTGTTTTCCATGCACAGTGCATGAGAACATTTTCAGATCTGAGAAGTTGCTGGTTAAAATTGCTGGCTCATGCTCTGTCTCATGAGAGATGTCTGACGAAGATGCTGGGACAGTGTTTTGCTCCACACAGCTGTAGGTGCACAGATTTGAGTAGAAGAGCAGCCAACAGTGACTTCCTATGAATCCCTTCCTGGTGGCTCACAGAAGTCATCTCCTCTGTCCCCAGCATGACCACCTCTCCTAGCTTAGATCCAGAGAAAGAGTGGACTTCGTCTTTCTGTTTCCAACTTTTCTGTCCTAAGTTCTTGTTCCTGTTCACTTAAGTCATGTGACATACATGGCAGTGTGCTCAGAAGAAGCTTAATGGTTTCTCATCTCTAGGGGAGAGAAGTCTCTGCTTTAACCTCCTCGCCCTTTCTCATAGAGTCTCTTTCTCTTCAGAAAGTTCCATGATTTTTGTCTGCCTCCTTTTCACACTCTTGCACTCATGTGCCTGTCATTGTGAACATCTTCAGCCATTTCCCAGGAGGCTACTCGGCAGGTTGCCAATGGTTCTGCCACCTGTGTCTTTTTAATGGCACTTTACATAATGTGGCTTGTTTTAAACAGTGCTCTTGTACACATTACCCTAACATACTGCGAATATTAATAATGTGCATTTGATCATTTCTGCTGTGAAGTGTGCCTCTATCACAGTTGGTAGTGAACATATCTGTTTGGGCAAATATTGTTCTGTCCATTGCAACTTTCTAGGGCCTCAAAGAATTACGTGTTTCCTAATTCTTGATGTAAATGTGTTCACATAGGATATACTTGGTCATTTCTGGACTGGCATCTTTTACTGGGAATGCATAATTGGACTTTCCTGTTGTGGCACCTGTTACTACTTCTTCCCTCTCTCGTGAGCCTGTGCCTATTGTATGGGAAACATCACTTGCTTATCTGTTAGGCAGCTAATGGCTTTTGTGCTATTTGAGTTTGGGAGCTTGTATTTAAAATTCATTTTGCAAGTGAAATTTTATGAATGTTTAGCATATGTCTATGGATTTATACTTATATTTATTTTTTGTTGTTCTTGTTGTTGAGTAAATACAAAGGGATGGAGTAGCTGAATTTAGGGCAGGTAAAAAACTGCCAAAAACAGTCGTACAGAGTGACTGTGCTATCTACGTTCCCTTCGGTTGTGTATTTATTAGTTCCAGTCCTCTGTATCCTTGGCAACTCTGGCATGATTAGGCTTTTCTGTCCTAGCATACTGGTGGGTATCTAATGATTTACCATTGTAGTTTTGATTTGAACTGTTATGACAGTAATGTTGTTGTTCTTTTCATGTGTTAATTTACCATTTAGTTGTCTTTGGTAAAGAGTTGTGCTTCTGGGCCTGGTGGCACAGACCTGTCCTACCAGGTACTCTGGAGGCTGATGCAAAAGGATCATCATACATTACAGGCCTATGTGGGCTACAGAGTGAGTTCAAGGCTAGTCTACACAACTTAGAGAACTCCATTTCGTATAAAATAAATGAGGAACTGGGGATGGAGAGATGGTTCGGTGGTTGAGAACAGTTGCTACCATTGCAAATTTTAGGCAGCTTGAGACCCCTGTGAGGCAGCTCATAATGATCTATAACTGTAGCGCCAGGAGCTTTAACACTAACCTGCATACAGGCGTGCAGACACGTAACACATAATTAAAAAAGTGTGTCATGAATTTAAAAAAAGAGCAAAACAAAACTTTGGATAAGGGCAGTGATGGAACAGCTGCCAGCATGTGTAAGGCCCTGGATTCTGTCCCCCAGTACCTCTCTGAGAGGGAAGAGATTATGTACATCTTTAACTGTGTCAGTTACTAAGCTTGTTTGTTTTAGGCTTAGTAATTTTATTTTTATGTTTTGTTTGAAAATCTGCTTTTGTTTGTGTGTGAGGATTTGTCTACATGTATGTGTATGCACTACGTGCATGTCAAGTACCTACAAAGGCCAGAAGAAAGTGTCAGTCCCCTGAAACTCGAGTTACAGGTGGTTGTGAGCAACTACGTGTATGCTGGAAACTAAGCCAGGTTCTCTACAAGAGTAGCAAGTGGGTTTACCTGCTGAGCCATCTCTCCAGCCCACTTTTTGTTCTGTTTTTAAAAAGACTTATTTGTTTTTATTTATGTTTGTGTTCATGTGTTTCTGTGTATCATGTGCAGGTACTCTAGAAGCCAGAGAACATCATATTCCCTAGAGCTGGAGTTACCAGCAGTTGTGAGCTACCTGACATGGGTGCTGGGAACTGCGCTCAGGTCTTACACTAGAGCAAGCAGTTCACACTTTGAATCATCTCCCTATGCACGGTGTCTTGAACTCCAGGGCCTCAGCCTCCTGAGTAGCTGGAATTGAGATGTACTACTCACTTGGTTACAGCCTGGGTTTGTTCTGTTGCTGAATTTTCAAGAATTGGTCTATTTATCAAGTTTAAGATTTCAGGTTTTTCTCCTGTTTCCCTCCCCCTCCCTCTCTTCTCAGTGTCTTTCACAGAGAGAAGTTTTCAAATTTGATGAGGTTGTTATTCTGTTCTTTTGTGGATCATATTTTTGATGTTCTGAATATCTGCCTAAAATGATTTCCTTGCTTTTTCTTCTAGCAGTTTTAACTTGGACTTTTAGGTCTATGGTTCATTTGGGGTCAATTGTGTGTAGCACTGGGTCAAATTGAAATGAATTTTTGTGGATTCCTGCTTCCTGCCCTAATGCTGTAGTGCCCCACACTCACTCACTTGACTTATGCCAGTTTTTTTCCTAGAGTACAAGCTGATTTGAAAAGGACAAACACTCCCAACTTATTTCTGTTAAAAGAGCCTTGGATTCATGGAGTCCAGTGCAGATCTTCTTGCTGAGAGCGTGTGTCTGGAGCAAATTCTCTCAGGTCACCAGCCACCTTCTCTCAGGTCTCCTCCTAGAGGAAAATCAGTCCTTTCTTTTCCCCTTTCAAGACTGCTCTCAGAGGATCCTTGAGTGCAGAGGCTGAGATAAGCAGTAGGAGCAGCAGAGACCAAGGTGCTACTTGGAAGCTTCTCAAGAGCACCAGACCCCTTGACTGCCAATCTCATGGCTTCATAGTGCCAGATTAGCTGTGTGTGCTGTTGCTGTTGTCCAGAGGCTTGTAGTAAAGATGTTTGAGATCGGTTAGGGCAGGGTTAACCTAGAAGGCCCTGGTGGCTCACCATACTGTTGGCAGGTGATATAAATCAGAGCTGTGTGCTTCAGAGGCCTAGGCTAGGTCTTCACTTACACAGTAAGAAGGGAATTTCTGTGAGCTCTGCTGCTTTCGTGATCTGATGAAATAGAGACAACAGCTCTGCGGGGCTTCCTGAGCACTTTTGCAATGCTGTGATCCTTTTTTTTTCTTTCTTTTTTTTTTAAGATTTATTTTTATTTTGTCTATATGAGGGTTTGCCTGCTGTGTGCATGCCTGGTTCCGCAGAGGCCAGAAGGAGGCAGCCGGTTCTCTGGAACTGGTGTTGCAGGTGGCTGTGAACTGCCTTGTCTTGTTCTGGAGAGTGAGCACTCTTAACTCCCAAGCCATCTCTCCAGCCCCCTTTTCTTGGTCCACTTGTAAATGTGTCACAGGATTCTGAGAACCTTGGGTTTGTGGTAGCTTTTGGTGCTATATTTCATCTGGAAGTAGAGGGAATCATTCACTTTGAACACGTGGGCTGCAGACAGATGAATCTGGAATGGGCTTCCCATGCTTATAATCTCCGTGGGAACTGAGCTTTACTCTGGTGGTGGCACTCTGGGAACTGATTTTCTCCTGGTAGAACTTGAGCTTTATGGAGGGCGATCATGATCAAACTTGAAGCTGGCCCAGCACTCTGCATTCAGGTCCTCCTGGTTTTGTTCCCACTGAATAGCTCAGATGTATTGACCATCTGAATGCCTAAGGAAAAAGTTACTGATAATGCTCACCTAGTAGCCCTGGCTGGCCTGGAGCTCACTATGTACACCAGGCTAGTCTCAAACTCACCGAGATCCTCCTCCCTATGCCTCTCAAGTGCTGGGATTAAAGGTGTGTGCCAGCAAGCCCTACCAAAGCATGGAAAACTTGTTGCTGAGAGATACAGTAAGGCAGTAATTAGTTAGGCAAACATACATACAAACGTGTCTTACAGCAAGATACAGTGAGCTGTGAGCAGGTCATCAGCGCTTATCTGGAAGATTTATGGAGATTATTTAACAATAAATGGAAATGCAATATAGGCTTTATTTTTCTTTCTAAATTCAGAATTATGTCTCTGAAGTGAGAGTCTAGGTTTCTTTTTTAAATAATAAGGTTATTATATGATCAGCTACTTAGAAAGAAAACAGCATGAGGTGTTAATTAACTGTGGGTTGCAGGAGTCTTTGTCTCTTAAAAGTATATATGCACAGAGTCTAGCAGTACTTGTAGAGTTTTTTCAATGAAAGCTGGGGTGTGTTTATCTAGTACACACAGTCCCCACACTGCAGAAACTCAGCATGGTGGCTCACTGTGGGGATAGAGGCAGGAGGATTAGAAATTCAAGATACTCTACCATGTAGTGAATTTGAGGTCTTACTGACTACATGACACTATTATGTCGAAGGAAGGAAGGAAGTTGTTTGCATGCCTGTCTACCCTGGCGCCACTGGACTCCGGCTGCTGTCATTTTGTAACGGTTCTTCTGTGTATCCAGGGGTAGGCTAAGCCGACCATTTATTGTTTTGTTCTGTGGCCTGTCGCTTTGGGAGACAAGGACCTAGTTCTTTTGACTTTATGTTTACTTGGCTGCCCTGTCCTTATCATGGGCATGCCATGTATATGTGGCTCTTTTCTTCTGTGTCTGTTTTGTCTTTCCTGGTGCCTCTTAGGAGGTTTACTAGGGCTCTTGAGAACTCTGGTACCTGTTTCTGGCCCATGGGCTTTTCAGTACTGTGCTTTCTTGGTGCTCCTTCAGAAGCCTAGCTCATGCCCTAGCCTGGGTCCTATGCTGGAGCCTTCTTCTGCAGGAGCCTGGGACTTTTGACTTACTTCTTCAGGCCTTGTCATCTTTCTTAGGTTCCACTTTACTTTTGTAAAGTATTAGCTTTCCAGGAGATTATGGGGAAGTCATGTTTTAGAGAATTCCCCATTATAAAAAAAAACCTGTATTCCACCTCCCAGTAGTTCTCTGGATGAAGACTATGGGCTAACAGCCATTGCCCGCAGTATAGTGAAGGCATCACACTGAGAAATGACCACTGTATTTTAATATTTGGAATGAGAATCTACTTAATGCTGCACACTGAATCTGTTTATAAAGTCAAATGTATATCTTTTTGCCTCTTTTAAATCTGTAACATCTTGTCTAACCTTGAAAAATACTTTGTTTTTTAAAGAAATGATTTTGTTTGTTTTTGTTTGCAGTGCTGGAGATTGAACCCAGAGTCTTGCACATGTTAGGCAAGTGCTCTGTCTCAGCTGTGTTCTTGGCCCTTTGTGTTTGTGTGTTTGCTTGCCTTTCAGATTTAAACACTCATGTGTGAGTGCTTGCCTGCATGCATGTGTGAGCTGCTATGTGGATGCCTATCCTGTGTTTTGATTTGGGGTCTTAGTGTGTAGCTAGGCCTGTCTTTGGAATTCTCCATCCTCTTGCCTCAGCTTCCAGAGTGATATGAGTCTAGGTAAAGTGTTACACCTCCTTAGAGAGTTTTTATTAGGAACAGTTTCAGGTGCGTCCCCAAGCTTATGAGAGCATAGCCCACTTCCCCAGTCGCCTGGCTTCGATTGCCGCCAGCTCAGTTGATGTGTCATCTCTACTGCCATTGCTTTTCCTGTGTTGCTTTGAACCGCCTGCAAACAGAATGGTGATGATTTTTGGAAGTGTCTCTAAAAGTATAGAGCACTGTTGCCATGCCTAAAGTATTAGTTATTATTGCTCCGAGCTCCAGATAGGTCATCTGCATCATAGGTGCTTATTTCTGTTTTTCTGTTGTTGGGCAATAAAGTGGGGCCTGTTTTTTAAAGCCAAGTGAAAATGTACTAGCACCACAAGTTCTGAGTGTGGTTCCAGCTTGGCACTTAGCATCTGTTCTCAGAGTATGACACACCTGAGCATTTTGTATTTTGGTTTTTTGAGACAGGGTTTCTCTGTGTAGCCCTGGCTGTCCTAGAACTCACTCTGTAGACCAGCCTGGCCTCGAACTCAGAGATCTGCCTGTCTGTTGCCTGCTGAGTGCTGGTATTAAAGGTGTGCACCACCACTAGCCGGCCACTTGAGCATTTGATTGTTAATATTTTCTTCCTGTGGTTTTAGTGACTTCTCAGAGGATTTCACTCTGCCTTTTGTATTTTTGGTTGTAAGCAATGTATCCATGCTGGCCTCAAATACATAGTTTCCTGCCTCAGAGTGCAGGGATCTCAGACGTGTACTTCATGGCCAGTTCTGGCAAGATGACTCAGTTGAGGTTTATAGAAATAGTAGGGCAGAAACTAGATTTAAATAACTGAGCAAGGCCATCTGTTCAGTAACTGTACTACCTGCCGTGAATGTGGTTGTGAGAAGTGAAGGACTGGTTTGCTCCAAACCAGAGTTCGTTCTTCTGTGTCAGCCTCGCTTCCACCCTGAGTTGGTTTCCCCCTCTGCATACATGCCACTGTGAGCACCCTGCTCTCCTCCTTCTGTGTGTTCCTACTAAAAGTCAGGGACCTCTTGCAGAGCTTGGCTCTTTCCTGGTCACCTGCAGTGGAACCTGGCTGAGTCTGACAAGCCCACAGTTCTGCTTCCGTGGCCTGGCCTAGTGTCGAGTGCTTACTCCTGCATGGTGAGAGTATTTACCTGGGAGGAGTTAGGCCTGTCCTGGACCCCTTGCAGTGTCGCTGAAACCTGAACTGGGTGATCTCACATTGCTTTTCCCTAACTTAAAAATGGTTTATGAATTTGTTGTGGTATAATTGGCATATAATAAATAAAATTGAACATACTTAAAACTTTGAGCCTCAGAGTGCGTATATCATGTCTATAATTTTCTATCTTATCATTTTTGAGACAAGGAGATGGGCAGAGGGAGAAAGGGATGATGTTAGCTTTTTACCACTGTAACAGTATCTAAGGTAGGCAGCTTCTTTCTCAGAGAAAGGTTTGTTAGGGCTCACAGTACTTGGAGGTTTCCATCCATGATCACTCAGCCCCATTATTTGGGTGTGTGGACAGGCAAAATCTCATAAAGCAAAAGCGCTCACCTTATGGATAGGTTCCAGACCCCACTTGGAGAGCATACTCCTAGTGATCTAAGACTTCTCACCACTAGGCCCTGTCCTCCTGCAGTAGCACACCGCAAACTAGGCCTTCCCATTCGGGCCTTTGGAGGAATACTTAAGGTCCAAGCTATGCCAGTCTCTTTATGTGCTCTCGTCTTTTAACTTGCTTTATACATCCTAGTGGATATTCTCATATTTGGCTTTCTTGGCAGAGCACCAGTATTGAAAGTTGATATATTTAAGAATGGTAGATATTGTAGAAGTCATTAATTCTCTCTGCTAATAAAATTAAGCCTTTAAAATTTTAAATTAAAATTGTTTAGACTCAGTTCATTCTTTAAGATTGAGGCATAGTTTATGAACAAAGACTCATATATTTAGTGTGTATTTGGATGGATTTTTTCACAGTTGGACATTAGCACCATGGATCCATCACCCAAAACAAAACTTGGAACACTTTTATTATGGTAGTAGGGCTTCCCTTTCCTCTCGCTCTTGATTTCTTCCACATATTTAAGATTTTGGAAATTCAGAATACATGTGCCATAGCTGTTACTTTCGAGATAGACTGGTCAGTTGTTGGCAGTGTAAATGAGACATGTGTTACGTGCTGTTCTGTGTCTCCTTGTTGTGAAAATTCAATGGGGTTGGAGATTCATTTGTAATTTTTTCTTAATGATTGCCAAGTAGTGTGTATATGGCTGGATCAGAGTCTCCCGTTGATGAGGATTTACACTTAAGTCTGGAAAACATGTTTTCCAATTTTTATTGTAGTCCTGAGGGACGGTTGCTTGCATCTATGAGACATGTGTCTATCAGAGCTTATGATTCTGACACACCAATGGACAGCTGAGTGCTCTGTGCCACAAGTTGCACCAGCAAGAACATGAAGACCATTGTGGCCTCTTCAGAAAGTACTTGTGCAGAGTAGGCTCGATGAGCACTTCAGGCTGTCCTCAGGCATTCAGGTGTGATGTATACTGTGTTTGGGTAACTGTACAGTGCCTCACAGCCTGTGGTTGCACTCTTTTTAAAGACTCTGATCCTCCTGCCTCTGGTCACTGCCTATGTTTCGGTCACTGAATTTTTCCAAGGGTTTCCTGTGTGCTATTTGAAGCATGGCTTTGTCTGGCTTTCACTCAGTACAGTTATCTTGGAACTTGTCTAATGTATCAGCGAGATACTGGGACACAGGATGCACCAGAATCTGGTGATGGGCGCATGCAGTGTCTGAACTCTCCTGTCCCAAGGAAGACCTGTCTCTGCCTCTCCCTCAGCAGCCAGTTTGTCTCTTTGCCCTGTGGACCTCTTCCTCAGCTTCTGAAAACATCATGTAGCTTGCCGCTCCCATGGGTGGATTCAGGCTCTTATTCTCCTTCTAGCCACCTGAGGGTACATCTCCTAAAAATAGCCTCACGTGTTTATAGCAGTCCATCTTCTCTTCCTTTGCTCATCATGTAGCTTCATGTGTTCTGTTCCTTTTATTTTAAGAAATTGTGTGTACATGCGTGTCTGTGTGTTTGTGTGTGTGCATGTCCATGTGAGTCCAGTGCCCTTGGAGGAAAGAAGAGTTGGTTGGATCCTGTGGAGCTGGAGCTGTGAGTGGCCCTGTGTGGGTGCTGGGAACAGGAGCCGTATGTGCTTTTACCTGCTAAGCCCTCAGCATCTTCTTCTGTCTCCTGTTTAACAACCTGCTTTCTTGTTATTTTCATTTTCTCTTTGGTAGAGATGGTGCAAGTCAGTGTACCCCTTGACTCACATCTTTACACTAAGGTGCTTTGCTAGGCTTTGGCATTTGGTTTCTTTAGTTTCACTGTAACGAGTAATGTAAGCTTGCTTGGAGTGAAGCTTTTGTTGGTACATGCTTATTTTCCTAAGGTTGGACCTTAACTGTAGGGTGAAAAGGTGCATGTGCCTTTAAAGCTGAGTTGAGCCTAGGGAGGCCATAGCAGTTTTTATTCCAGCAAGACAGGACAGATTCTTCTGTGTGTATGTGCAGAGATCTCCACTCTACATAGTGGCACACAGAGCTGAGAAACGTAGGTCTCAGCAGAGGAGAAGCAGGGCTTCAGTGGCAACAGGTCTTCACTGTGCTCATGACTGCTAGCGGCCCTGGCTCCTCCCTGCACTGCTCTCTTTGTCTGGAATTGGCCAGGTGAACTCAGGCCTCTGGCTTCTCTGTTCCAGGCTACACTCCTGGCACACCTTACAAAGTGTCCTGTTCCCCAACCAGCGGAGCTGTACCACCATACTCCTCCTCCCCGAATCCTTACCAGACGGCCGTGTACCCAGTGAGAAGTGCCTACCCCCAGCAGAGCCCGTATGCCCAGGTATGCTTGGGTATGCCCTGCACTTGGGGGAGGGTTGGTTCCGTCACATCTCTACAGCCCTGGGACCCTCTGGCAGTTGTCTCTGTTTTCCCCACAGCAAGGCACATACTATACACAACCTCTGTATGCAGCACCCCCTCACGTCATTCACCACACCACTGTGGTGCAGCCCAATGGCATGCCAGCAACGGTCTACCCTGCTCCCATCCCTCCTCCTAGAGGCAGCGGGGTCACCATGGGCATGGTTGCTGGGACCACAATGGCCATGTCAGCAGGTGAGTCCTTAGTTCTTGGTGTATGTGTTCTGCTGCAGCCTGAGAGCTGCTGAAGTGGGGAGAGTCCATGAAGCTTCTGACCCTTGCCTTAGTCTCATGGTTTCAGTTGTGTGAAAGGACTACCTCTTTCCTTTTTCCTTTCTCCTTTCAGGAATAGGCCATGAGTCAGGTGGCCTCCACTGTGGAGATAACCGAACAGCACATTGTTAGTGAGCGAGGTGGCTGTTTGGCAGTAGGAATGAGGAGTGTCAGGTAGCCCTCATTTGGCCTCTTCCATGAGCAGCTAGACTGAACAGTGGGGTAGGTACTTTCTGTTCCAGGGCCAGGCGTCTCTGTTGGCCAAGTTTCAGTAATGAGAAAGTTCCTCTAAGAAAGCTGGCTTTGTGTTGATAGAGGGAAGAGCTGCTTATAGAAATCCTTCACCATTTATTTATTGGATCAGGAAAATGGGTTGGGGGATGCCTTCAAGAAGACTTGAGGTTTGATGGAAGGGTCACCTCCTCACCTTTCAATATCTGTAGCTGCCTTAAAGCTATTCCATACAAGGTCACTTGGTTCTCCATTCCTGGGATTTGGGGAGAGGGAGAATCAAGCAATTTAAAAAAAAATTCCTAGACTTGAACATAAGGCAATTATGTCAGATATAGCACTGTGGGATTCTGTCTATTTCTGCTTAGAATCTCCGTTTGATTTTTCTGCATCTGCTGTTAAAGAAGACTGGCATGGACTGTTGCTGCCGCCTGGGGATAGCTCCCAGAGGAGGGGTGTGAGCAAGGGTTTACCTCCGCCTTGAGGTGTGGAGGGGTGGCATAGCTCAGTCGTGCAGGCCATTGCTGAGGGCATAGGCTCATGGAATGTAGAACTCCCTCAGGAATGTGTTCCTGTTTTTTTTCTTTCTCTTCCTTCCCTCCCCCCTTCTCCATCAAATACAAAACTCTGTATGATAAGTAGCCCCATGTTACTGTGAAACGAGTCTCCAGAATATTCACGCTCCAAGTCTAAAACCCCTGTACCATTAAACAAGTACTGCATTTTTCTTCCCTCACAGTGTAGCAGCCGCTCTTCTGGGCCCTGTCTCTGCATCTGACAGTTCAGTACTCATAGAGGGAGCACACAGTGTCCTCTTTTCCCTGACTTTCCTTCACCTTCGTGTTACAGTTCGCCCTGTTACGATGTTTCAGGATGCCCTTTTAAGAGGAGAAACACCTTTTCATTTCGTAGTCATGGGATCTCACAAAATTAATGTCATTGGTCTGAAGGGGATTACAGACATTGTGACCACAGGCTGCTATGCTTATAATGCCTTTCAGCACTTTGAAATAATCTGTTCAGAGTTTAAGACCATTCCTCTTCCGTTGTGCCCCCTCCCAGGAAGTCAGTCACATGCTTTCAGAGGCCACATGATGGAGCTCTGCTCAAATGCTTACTTGTGCCTCTTGTGTGAAGTGTTGTGCTTTCTTCCAGGTACCCTGCTGACTGCTCATTCTCCAACTCCTGTAGCCCCTCACCCGGTTACTGTCCCCACATACCGAGCCCCAGGAACACCCACCTACAGCTATGTGCCCCCTCAGTGGTGATTACCCTGCAAACTAATGTAAGTATTAGTGAAGTGTGCGGGCTGGCTGGGCCCGGGTGAGGGTGTGCTTTTCTGAGGAAACTCGGAAGCTGACTTCAGATTTAAGTGCTCTTCTAGTTTGCTTCTCTTGCTGTGAGAAAACAAAAGCACCTTAGGAAAGGGAAGATGGATTGGCTTACACTTAATAGTCCGTTAGAATGGAAATCTGAAGCAGGACCTAAGGCACAGGCCATGGAGGATGGGTGCTCATTAGTTTGCTCCCTCCAGCTTGCCTCCTTGCTCAACTACCTGCTTTATACAGCCTAGGCCTACCTGCCCAGGGAGAGCACCACTGGGCCTTACGTCCTTGATTAGCAACCAAGAATGTGCCCACAGCCCAGCCTGAAAGAGACAGTTTCTTGATTGAGATTCCCTTTTTGCAAGCACTAAGAGAAAGATGTACCTGCTCTTTACACTGACTGGGACCTCCCAGGGCAGAAGGAAGAAGGCCATTGAGTGTTAACTGTGCATCTTGCAGCTTCTGTCGTGGCTTGTATCGTCCTTCTACTTGCTGCAGTTTGTAGGGTTCCAGTTATAACGGGGGCAAGGGCCACAGGATGGGGCTCTAAAGTAGGTGGGAACCAGGTACAGCAGCTTTGGCTACTGTTGCCCTCTGGAGTTAGTGAAGCAGAGATGGAAGAGCCTGTCTGACTGTTTATCATTCTTTCCCAGATTTGAGGATGGAGCTGTGCAGTCACTTCATTGAGTTCCACAGCTGGTGCTGCAGGCCTTGTGCCTCCAACCAGGACTTTCTTCTTAATGCTCTCGACACTTAGCTAAACACAACTGCGTCCCAGCCCAGCAGGTCCCAGCTCGCTAGTCTCCAACTAACTCTGTGGGTTGGTTTTAAAGCAAATCCTGTTTTGTGGACTGCCTGGCAAATTTTTTAGCTAATTGTAATGATAAAAAGGGAGTATTACTCTATTCTGAATTATATCTAGTTGAATGCATGTTTAAAAACAAACACAAAAACAAAGCTTGCTCAATCTACCTGCAGTGAGTGATGCAGAAACATCATATGCAAAACCCAAAGGACTGGACTGTGTTCTACAGCCTGTGTCACTCGCGCACTCCTGTAATGTGTGCTGAGGCTCAGAGTTACACATGTGCAACTGAATGTCCCTATTGAAGCATCTGGAGTACTGGAGGGGATTCTTGGGGTACTGGGGACACAGATTTGTAGCAGCCTGGTTTTTGCCACTGACCAATCCTGGAGGGAGCTGCAGGAACTTGGAGAGAGTGTGAGCCTGCGGTGGCTGCAGACAGCCACAGCAGGGGGGGATAGTAGGGTCCCTCTCCTTCACTTCAGCTAGTGTGTGCTCTGGGAAGCAGGGATGCACCTGAAGCTCTCTGGGAAGATGGGAGCTGGGTGATAGTACAGCTGGGATGAAGGCTTGTCTGTGTGTCAGTAGAGCAGTGTCTGCCATCCGAGTCTCCACTGTATGTCTTACAGGATAATGTCTTGTGTATCTGTTGGGACTGTTGGGAAAGACCAGTGTAGAACTGAACTGTCTTCCTAGGAGGGAAGACATCAAAGAGAAGCCGCCACACTGAGGTGGTATTGTCTCTTGCTTTATTTCGCTTAAGGAACCATTTTTCCCCCCTTGAGAAATAATTGAGTCAGCTAAAAGCACCGGAGGTGCTGTTTTCATCCCATGAAGAAGGGCAGGACTTCAGCTGTGTGCTGTGGAGAATGTTGTATATTTAAGACTGGCTAAAAGGGAATAAGTGTATTTTTAACTTAGTTCCTCATGTTTCTTGTAGAGAAACAGGACTGTGATTATGTCTAAAAATGTAGAAATAATGTAGCTTGTCCTGGGTCATTCACCTGTCCTCTGTGACTAGCTGGAGTGAGGCCTACAAAGCCTGCAGAAGTGGTCTGAGCCTCTTTTGGCACCTTTTTCTGTAGCTGAAGGCACTCAGTACCAAGCAAATGTGGAAAGTAGAAAGGGCTAGGCAGTTTTGGGATGCACTTGCCTGTCAGGATCTGTTGTGGGAAAGGTTTTGCGTGTGTAACTGAGTGTGTACATAAGAAATCAAGAGGTTCTTTTTGCCTGGATACACACCCAGCTTGAATCTGTGAGCCATTCTATTCAGTGTGGGTCAGAAGGGCGGGAGGGCCTCTGGGGTCTGTGGAGTGGGTTTTTATTGTTTTCAACTCCATTGAATTGCTGGGGCTTTGGTTGGACGGGATGCTTGTCTCTGGCAGCTAGGCCAGGGCCTCCATGTTGGCTGGCAGTCGTCTCAGTAGCAGACAACTTGGCTAGAGGGTGAATCACCTGAATAGCGAGCCTTTGGTAACGTTATTTTTATAGTAATGTTCTCCATAATTTTTTTTTAGCATTTTTAAAAAAGTTTAGAAAGATGTCTGCATGGATCAGTGTAAACAGAAAATTCCTCATTCCTAATGTCCATGAACATAGAATATTTACTGATGAGTATGTTGAATTGCCTCATGAGCACTTAACAGTGTCAGTGTGTGATTGTGTTTGAGTGTGTGTGTGTGTGTGTGTGTGTGTGTGTGTGAGATGTAGCGGGGGAGCAAGAAAGCACACAGTGCACAGAGCTGGAAGCATTTGCTGTAGTCACACAGCTTGTATCTGTACTTCATGTTGGAATCCCCATCTCTGTGATGGAGGTTTCCCTGAACTCAGCAGACAGAAGGTGGTTTGCCCAGGTGAATAATCACAGATCACTAGGACAAATGTACCTGTGATTTTCACATGTGTTGGAAAAAGTCCCCTCACCCATCCCCAAGTAAGCATACCTGCTCCCCCGCCTATAAAGGGTAGAGTTGTTTGCCTGCAGCGTGAAGTCACCCAGTCTTTGGGCCTGCTTGCAGCTGCACACAGTGTGTGTGTCTCCACAGGCTCTGAGTTCTCAGGAGAAAGAGTGGGATCACAGCCGCTCCTGCTGATTGCATCAGCTTTACACACTTGCCCTCAGTCTGTTAAAAACTCGTTCTGTTTCTTTCAAATTGTGACTAACAATACTTCTGCATTGTACAACTCATCCGTGTGGAAATCTTTTCTGTTTTGAAGCTGTCGGCTCTTCAGCTGTGAAATCTGGTAAAGAGCGTACCTATCAGGTGGGAATCTTGGCATGTGGATAGTAGCAGACTGTCAAGAGGTGGTGATTTCCACAGCATTCGGTTTCAGCAAAATTATGGGGCAGAACTTGGTCAGTATTTTGTTACATGGCTGCATAGGTATCCCAAAAATATCAAGGAACTTTCCAAGAAAGTGTGCTTTTTACGTCTGTGACATTCCTGACTAGAGTCCTTCAGTTGAATTCTTTTTGAAGACAGGAAGGCAAAGAGTTGTGAACATTGCCATCTTTGTTAATACATACATACATACATACATACATACATACATACATACATACATACATACATACATACATACATATATCTTCTCTGCTGCCTTCCCTGAGGCTAGGGAGCTTTCTTCCTCTGCCGCAGTTGAAACCTCTGTAGAGTTGTGGAATGATGAGGAACCTGTGACAAAGTCAGACCACCATCAGGATTGGGCCAGTCAGGCTGCAGGCATGGAAGTGCTCTCCCAGAGCTTTTGTCTCCTGTCTTGTCTTCCTTGGAAGAACCATTGTGAGGCTTCTGGCCTGCCAGTTACCATTATGGGTGGCAGCTTTTGAGAGTTTTGCGGAGGCAGTGTTTCCAGCAGGTGGGGCAGTCCCCAGTTCTGGATTGGCTGCTGAGTCTCCTGCCTTTCCTCAGCTATGCACCTGGCATCTTATTGCATTTGTTTGTGTTATTCTGCTGTGACAGGAGGCTGAAGGAGCAGACTGCATGTTTCTTGGGGACCTGTAACAGTGAGAAGAAACTTATTCTTGGGGAGGTTTGAGCTCACTGGCTTCTGATTTGGGCCTTTGTGAGTGTGCCTGTGGTCGGGAGATGCTGGCAAGTGCCAGCCTTAAAGGGCCTGCTTCAGATGTCCTCAGCTCTCCTTCCTCATGTTGCAGTACAGTAGTTCTGACTGCAGGGCCACCTACTCTCACTCAGCAGCTGATACCTGTAGTTGTGGTATACCTGCTACTGCTGGGTGGCGCAGGACTTTCCAGGGCACAGTGGCAATTGTGGCAGCTGCTGTTCCTTTCCTCTGGTGCTTTCTGAGGGTTACTAGGGGGCAGGAGAGCAGCTAGCTGACCAGTGGAGTGCAGAACTTACACTCGTGTCCCCCCCCCCCCCCCCAGGTCTTCGTAGTTCCTGAGCTGCTTATTCCGCCCAGTGCTCTGTGTTTGATGGAGTGATACCCAGAGAGGATGCTGTGGTCTCAGTAGGAACAGTGAAATTAATTCCCCATGTCTTGGAGGATTCCTCTCTTCCCTGGCCCCTTCCTGTTCATTTAAAGAGAAGAAACCCTGTGGAATACATCTTAGTAGAATTATGGGATGGGAGGCAGCAGCTTTTCTGTTCAGGGACTGCAGTATTTCTACGTGAGCTGTGAGGACCTGATGGTATACAAGCAGCTTCCAGGGAAGGGCAGTGGGTGGGTCTGGTGCAGACTGTGGACAGTGTAATAGACCAGTTAGGTCAGATTGGGCACTGGCTCCCAGCAGGGCTGTTGTGGCAGCTGGAGGTCCCAAGGAGCCTGATAGGCTGTGACTGAACAGAAAAGGTTCTTTTTTAAAACTTTTATTTTTAAATACTCTTTTTTTACACTGTTTTCTTGGTACTTTTTTTATGCTTAAGTCAGCGTCGTCTTCCAGTGTTACAGGCCTCCCTTGCCTCTTCATTGAACTTAAGTGTCAATACAAAGGAACGGGCAGACTGTCCATCCCAGCCAGTTCAATTAGATGGAAATTCATACTGTTTTAATTTTTTATGCAATCTGATGAGTAGATGAGCTCAGATTTAAAATCCTTAAAAGCACGTTTATTGTAACAGGAATTGTTATGTATTAATACTGCAGTTTTCAATAAAGATTGACTTGTGTTGCATATTCTGATTTTTTTTTTTTCATGTGAGTTTTGTCAGAGGTGATGGTGTGACTGGCACATGCTGCCACTTCTCCCAGCCAGGAGGCCACTAGGGGATTGGGGCGAGGCTGTTTCTTCAGCCCTCGATTGGCTTTGGTAGAGGGGTCCTCCTAGGTGTAGTGGAGGAGGAGGAGGCTTCTGCAGCTCTACATAAGCCTCCTGGGTCCCTCAGTTCAGCAAGGAGGATGCCGAGACCCAGAAGTACCATTGAGCCCACCCCTTCCCCATTGGAAAGGAGTCTGCGCCCACCTGCTGCACACGGCCCCCTGACCCACTTTCTCTCCCAGCCCCTTTCCGGGCTTCTGCCACAGTGAGTCTAGCCACCCTGGGGCACCTCTGCCAGAGCCTCGGGCTGTGGCCTAATGAGCAGAGCAGCCCTTGTGCTAGACCATGGGCAGAAGAGCAGAAGGGGAAGGCAGGGTGCCCACACACAGAAGAGGAGATTCACACGGCAACAGGTGGCCAGCAGCCAGGTGACTTGTCATGAGTTTCTTTATGAAATTAAATGTGGTTTTTAGGTTAGAGAAGGTACAGTGCAAGAGTGACTGGCCATGCTTCTGCATCCTGTGGGCGCTGCATGATATGCAGGCCTGACTGTGTGCCCCACGAGGAATCGGTCCACGCTGGGCCACAGAATTCAGTCCTATGGCTTCTCACACTCGCTAGGGTAAGGCAATCTTTCCGCGTCACTAACCAGCCTTCTCCATTGTTCAGGGAAACACGACAGCATCATAATGCACAGGGGCTGGATATGTGTGCAGCCACCCGGCCACAGGGAACTATCACTAACCTGCAGCCAGGCACACAGCCGACCGCACTGCTTTGCTCTCGTTGCACACAGAACGAGGGCGTCCGGCAGCCAGCAGTGTCCAGAAGGGCCAGGAGGCATAGGGCAGCTACGGGTAGTTAGGAATGCAGAAATCCTGGTTCCTGACCTCTGAAGTTGCAAGTGGGCTGGGGCCTGAAAGGACAGAGAGCAGAGGGGCACACACCTGCTTTTGCAGGAGGCTTGTGGCCACAGACTTTGGTCTCCTGTCCAGCGGAAACAGGAGTGGAGATGATAACCTTTCCAAAGAATGTCCAGAGCAGACGGGCCTATGTGCACAGCCTGGCCAGGCATCTCTGTGGCGTGCAGGCTTACCGCTGGTTGCAGTTCTGCGCAGGTCCAGAGCATAGGCAGAGGCTGGCACCCATGCAACGCCGCACTAGCCATGGGGAAGAGGCCAGAGGCAGGGAGGGCCCAGACTTGCCTCAGCTCTGATGCTGTACCTGCTCACTTCCAGTTTGCAAAACAGGCAGGGGGCCCGATGGAGGAGGCCTCAGAGAGGTAAGGCCAGGTCTGCAGCATGCTGTCAGGTAGTCCGCTGACCGCTGGCTCACTTTCGGAAGGGCGTCAGTCGGCTGATGCTCTGCCAGAAGTTAGATGGCTTCCGCCTGGGCTCTGCTAGCACCAACACCTGCTGCTGGGGCCGGCTGGCAGGCAAGGATGGATGCTTGTGGCGCGTCAGGTATCGTGGCCTGCCAACAGCTGGGCAGGGAGAGACAGCAGGGGGTCACAAGGTATAAGGCAAAGGGGCACTTCTGTGTTTCCGCTGCAGACCCTCCACAGGGTTTTTGCCACACAGGATTTGCTTCCCAAGGGGCTAACCACAACACACGACCCCAAATTATCAATAGCTTTGGGTCTGGGTCTGAGGGCTGGCCAGGGCCACTGTCCAAAGCATGGGAGAGTTGGCTGTCTCCCAGGCAGCTGTAACACAAATATTTATCAGCAGCCTGGGGGAGTGAGCGCTGTAACTCCTGGTGCCATGTGGAGATCAGGCCATCCTCTGTGACCCTTATCACCTTTGGAAACACCTGTAAAGGGCAGTGGACATCTCCAGGGATCCATGGGACTAGCTGGCATTGCTTTTGATGTCAGAGACAGAAAGGTAATCAAGGCCAGAACTGCCCAGGGAGGGGGCCGCTTTCCCATTTACCTTTAGGCTTTCCTGTGGCCTGCTGCTTGCTGGCATTCAGCATGGCCTGCTTCCTCTGCAGCTCAGTGATGGAGAAGCCTGAAGCAAGGGTACACATGAGACCCCGCCTTGCCTTCCTCAGCTGTCTGCATGCCTCCTTGGAGGGTTTCCTGGTCCAGGTACTTCCTTCTTGGTGCCCCATTCCTATCACACTTGAGACAGCCTGGCATGCAGGGACTTCCCTAACCTGCTCAGCCATACTGTTTTGCCAACCGAGGGAGAAAACAAAGATCCCCCGAGCCACCACTTCATTTCCTACCTTGATCCTGTGTCCCCTCCCCACTTCCCTAAAACCTGGCTTCTTCCTCATCACCACTGTTGAGGCTCTTTCCCAAACCAAAGCATGAAGCTGGGGACTAAGGAACAGGAAAGGATGGGAAAGGATTCTGTGGTACCAACCCCATGTTCTCCCAGGGCTTGAGCCGGGAGGGAAGGTGCTCCCTCTTGTCTCAACAGATGGGCACATATAGTGGGGTACTCCGATCAGACTCAGGCCAGTGGGGCTGACCATATAGGAATGGGCATTTCTGCCCGAGTGGTAAGCACAACAGTCTGTGCCTCAAGGTTTCTGCAGCCTCACTCAGCCCCGAAGTGTGGTCACGGCGGCCCGGACCACCTGGTAGGCGGGCCCCAAAGGCTAGGCAAGGCCCAGCGGGGTCTCCCACCTGTCTCCTGGTCCAGCCGCACCTGCTCCCTCTCCCTGGCAAAGGCCTTGAGCCAGCGCTGCTTCTGTTCTGGCTTCCTGGCACACAGTAAGTGGCTGTCCCCCGTGGCAGCACAGTACAGACGAAAGGCGTTCTTGACGCTCACATGGAGGTCTCGGTCTTTCCCATCTTCCACGTCTGCCACCTCCAGGTTGTCCATGTCCAGCCGGCCCTTGTAGTACAGCACATCCCGGCGGAGCAGATCCTGCCAGATGCCGCCCTGAGCCATGGCTGCCCAGCAGCCAGGACCACCTGGCCATGCCCAGGGTCCACGCCCACCTCCCCTCCAAGCCACTGACTGACAGGACAGTCTTGTCTTTCAAGGTGCACATGGTCTGGTGGGCAGAAAGCCTCAGAAACTAAAGCAGCGGTCTACATGGTGTGGGAAAGCAGAGAGAACAAGGAAGACTTCGAAAACGGCCATTGAGCCATTGTTCGAAAGGAGCAGAAGCTAGCAGAAGAGAGGCCAGAGGTTGCTGGGATCAGAGAACTCATGAGACAGAGAAGCGAAGGCTTGCAGGGGGAGGCATGGTCTGGGGAGCAGCAGGCAGGAACCAGGTCAGGAAAGGGCATTCCCAACGACACGCCCACCCCAGTGTCCCTGGGCTCACTAGAGAGAACCAGTTCTAAGGGCCTGACTGGGGCTCCTGGGAACAGGAGATGGCCTGAGCAGTCTGACAGGCTCTTTGCCTCTAGACCAGGGCTCCAGCCTACTGTTCTACCTTCTGAGACCGGTCTGGCCAGGCAGGGTGGTTTGGATACCTTTTTACAGTAGATGAGCTGACGGTCAAAGAGAAAAAACATTCTCTGCTGACTCTTGGCTTGAGGCTGTGTGACACGGGTCAGCTCCCCCGAGTAGATAAGTTCCGAGCTCCTGACCAGGAGGTCTTCCCCCTGAGGGAACCCCAAGGAGGGCCGTGAGGCAGAGGCACCAGCCTTAGGCTCTTTCCTGCCCCTGTTGTTGGCGAGTGGGTGTCTTCCCTCTGCAAGCCCAAATGGCTAGGCCAAGGAAAGAGGGACACTCTTAAAGCCCCGGGAAGCCTTGACAGTGTGGCTGTGGGAGGAGAAAGGAAGGCAGGTTTGACCCATCCTTGCGGAGGGCTGCCCTGTGGCCATCGGCCTTCTGTGGCTGTTGAGCACTAGGAATTATGTAATCTGTCACTGTAACGTACACAGTGATTTCAAAAAGTTTGTTTTTTTAATGCAACAATGTAAGATATTTTTGTTGGTCACATTTGAAATGACATTTTGATCTATGGAGTTAAATAAAGCCCGTTGCACTTTTTCGTTCTGTGTGTGTTGTGTATGTCTGTGCTCACATGTGTATGAGTGTGGGGGGCCAGAGGTCAACATCAGGTATCTTAATCACTTTCCACCTTTAAAAAAAAAAAAAAAAGCAACCTTTATTATTTATTTATTGTGGGAAGGGGTGGGTGCATACCACAGCAGGTATGTGGGGGTCAGAGGACACCTGGCAGGATCCTCTCTTTCCGCCAAATGGATCCAGGACACTGGCACGAATTGTCAGCTTTGGCAGTGGGGACCTTTACCTGCTGAGCCATCTCTGCCTCCTTTGTCGAAACAAGTTTTTTTTTTTTTTTTTTTTTTCACTGAACTCCTAAATTCAGTTAGGCTGGCTGGCTGGCCGGCCAGAAAGTTTCAGGGATCCCCGTCTCCACCATCCAAGACTGGGGTACAGGTATATCGCCGCACCTGTTGTTGTTGTTGTTGTTTGTTTTGTTTTATGGGTGTGGGGCTCTGAATTTAGGTCCTCCTGCTTGCACACAGAGCGAGCAGGCACTTCACCACCCACACCCCAACCCCCCCCCTTTGGAAGATGGCTACTAGAAGTACACACTTCTGGACATGGCTCATACTGCCTTTTCAACGGACAGTGCTGCTTTAGAGAAAAATTAGGCCTGGCACAACCTACCCCAGCAGCTAGATGTAGTTAGTACCTGAAACTGGCACTCAGGAGCTGCTGGCAGCCATCTGTTTGAGGATGACTGCGCTTTCCAGTCCTTAGCCAGGCATGGGCCCAGGACCAGTCTGCTGCAGTGTCCTGCTCCCCCTACCCAAGTGTGAGGACTCCGTGCAAGGGCAGGGCCTAGAACTCTATGTCTGCACTTTTCTGTGGCTTATTCTGGCAGGGTTGCACTTGTTTGCTCATCCCGACAGCTGGCCTAGCAGACCACAGCTCCACACGGGTGGGGGGTAGGTGTGGCAGATTGCTGGGTGCAGAGGGGCAGTGTCCTCTCATCCCCACGCCTCAGAGGGAGCAGGAGTGTTTAGTCATCAGTTTCCTTGTGGTGGCTGCCTCAGAAGGCTAGGTGACTCAGACACAGGGATGAGCAACCCAGAAAAACGGACAAAACCTTGACACGGGAGGAGCCATTTCCAGCCCCAACACTGCCGCTCTCTCAACTGTTGGAAAGTCCCTGAAGTTACCTAAAACTTAGTAGTCCAGCCGGTCCACCAGAGCAGAGAAACGGACCAACGTGTCTTAGAAACACAGTTCCTTGGGTTAGGGCTGTCCCTGCGCTGGTGGTGCCCAGATGTGTGGTAGCGCACACAGGAAGGAGACCATTAGGGGGCAAAGTGGAGGCACCACCAAAGGCCAGAGAACCTGTCTCGCAGCCGCTCCTAGAAGTGCAGTGGATCCCTGCACCTCGTACCTTCTGGGCAAGAACGGTTTTCAAGCAAAGACCCCACAGTATTTTCTGGGCGCTGGGGCCCTCACCTCCCAGTCCTCTATGGAGCTCTGCCACTGGGCAATCTTGTCGATGTTTTCAAGTCTCCGTTTCCGCTCGTTGATGAGCTGGGCCACATTCTTCATGGCGTGCAAGGCAGCTTCGACATTCTTAAAGTCCCTGGGGCAGAACACACAGAAAGGGGGCGGCAAGCTGGAGAGCAGAATGAGCTGTAGGGTCCTCAGAGCCCCTCCACGTGAAGCCGCCCCTGGCCTCAGCCTCACCCCTCAAGTATAAGGGCCCTCTCCTCCATAACTTCCGGGTAGAGCAACTCAATACTCCAGTGTCACTCAAGGTGGTGGTCTTGTTTTCCGGCGCCTACAGCAGTACCCAGCAAACGGTACCACACTATAAATATTCTACTGGCTGATGGCATGCAGAGTCTCAGGCCGCTCCCCTCTACACCTCGTGCCCTCTACCTGTGCTGGGGCGGTGTGTACTTGAGCAGCTCTGCCAGCTGGAGGGGATACTTGCAGATCTTCTGCACCGGGGTCAGCAGAAAGCCATCCAGGGAGATGTCGATCATTCTTTGCAGCAGCCGGCAGGCCTCAAAGAAGTACACATACTTGCTGAGCTTGGTGAGCCGGGAGAGTTCCACACAGGCATTGGGATGGTTGTTGCAGTACTCAGAATAGATCTGGAAGTCTGCTTGCTGGGGGCAACAGCTGGGCGTCAGGATGGCTGTCTCTTGTTTCCCCAGGCAACAGGCTGCAGCCATATGGCAAGAGGGACAGGAGGCCTCTGCATTTGTTTTAGGGGCTGGTTCTACCTGCTTCGCTGGGTACAAGCTGTAATCATTCTAGGGATGGGAAAAAAATCTGTGATATAGTCTACCCGTCCTTGGAGCCACTCAGCTGTCAATAGGGCCTCCAAGGAGATATTCTGATTATGCATCTGTTTTTATTGTATTATCTGATGCTAATCACGAAGTGTATTCAGGGCTAAGCAGGTAAAACCTTGGAAGATGGAAAGACTCCTTGACTGCTTCCGCAAGAGGACAAGACAGTCCGCCCAGAAAAGGCTAGCAGCTTTTTTTTCTTTGAACCCGGTGTAGAAAATTCTGGGAAGAGAGTAGCAGGTGGCCTGGGACACAGCAAGGGAGAAATGTGCACAAAGACAAGTGGGGAGTGGGGGCGCAGAGCCAGGCACTGCTGCGTGTTAGGGTTCAGGGAGCCCACGCAGAATGGAGCCAGGCAGGCGCACTCACGTGTTCCAGAAAGCAGGCACCCAGCTCGCTCAGGTGTGGCCGCTCCGTGTTGAACTTCTGCTCCAAAGCCTTCACAAACGCCTTCTGGCAGCGGTAAATGTCCTCGATGTTCCCGAAGATGGTCCGCAGCTGCTCTTCACTGAACATATCCTCCCGCTTGCGGCACTGGCGGACGTAGCCCTGGGGAAGCGGGGCGGGGCCGAGCTCTCTGAGAACTCCCCTGTCAACCCCTCTGCGCCACACTCTGCACCAGTCCACCTCACCAATCCACCTCACCACCAGGCCGCACCTACTCGCCACAGGCCCCTGGCCCCGCCCCTCCCATCCCGCTCCCCGCCAGAGTCACCGTCTCACCGCCCTCTCCAAGCAAGCCCTGCCTCCCCTCCTCACGGCCTCCGCTCCTTACCTCGCAGATGTCCCGAAGGTGCTTGATGTAGTCCCGCTCGGTGCTGAGGATCTCATTGATGACGTTGGTGCGCATCTGGTCCTTGCAGCTCTGGGCCTCTGGAACACTGTCATCGGCCTCTCCAGCCCCGGCCCGCGGGGCCTCGTAGTCATCCGCGGGCTCATCCTGGTTCACCCGTAGCTTTAGACAACGAAAGGCAGATTAGCGCCTCCTGTCCTCCAGTCAGTCCCTGACCTCTGCTCCAGGTCATTCGGAGCTGAGGCCAGTAGCTGCCACAGGACACACAGGTCAAAGGGCACGCCAACAATTTCCCTGCAACTGGCTCCTAGACACGAGGCCAGGGGCAAAGGGCCAGACCTACTCAGCCTAGGTCATCTAGGCACAGAAATTCACGTGCCTAGGTCGATAGCCCAGCCTGTGTTTCCAAAAGGGCGTGAGGGGGACAGGGGGGGGGGTGTTGGGAGCAGGGGACTGACTGTGTCACAGTTCTGACCTCCCCCCACACTCATCCAGTCTGAGGCACAGAGTAACAGCAAAGCGGAGAGAGAGTGGTCCGCGCACGTGCGCGCCATGCCTAGGACTGCAGAGCAGTTCGAGGCCTGGACTTCCGGGAGTCTTCAGAAGCCCGGGGGAAAGCACAGACTGCAGCCATACCCGTACAAAGCTGGCGGGGAACCACCCCTCGCCGTCAGCCACGCGGCCCCACCACCATTCCTTGTTGGTGGCATCCATCACTTGGATGACGTCCCCAGCTTTGAAGCCCAGCTCCTGGTCATCCATGGTGACATGGTCCCACAGGGCTTCAGCACACACCACACTGCCATCACTGATGAGCTGTAGAGAGAGCCAAGGCGGGTCAGTCAGTGAGGCCAGGCTGCCCTACCCTGCCCCTACCCAGCAGCCCTGGAAGGGACCCTGGCCTGCATTACAGAGATACTAGTGCAGTTTTCCTCCAGGCCAGCAGCTTTCCTGGGGGCGGGGCTGTGCCTCTGACATGTCTAGACTGTAGCCCAGGGAGGGAGCCAGAAGTGAACTTGAGCCCCAATGGGACTGACTGTCACTTGCTCCTTTCCTGTCCAGCCACACCTTCAGCTCTGTAGAGTCTGTGGCTTCAGCTTCAACGCTCTATGCTGAGATGCTGGGCTGGGACTGGGCCGTGGGCTGGGCTGTGGCAATTGGCAGCTGCTGTCTGTTCTCTCGGTGGCCATTTAAGAGAGGAGACTTGCTCTGCTTGTGAGGTCACCCAGTCACCAGTGCTGTTTTACCAACAACAGCGCCCATCACAGCAGCTGGATCATATTCGCTGTGTGTCCTTAAACCCTTGCAGAAGTAGCCATAGGACAGCACTGCTCCTTCCAGCCCAGACACCTCACCAGCTGAGGGGTAGCCCTCCTCAGACTGAGCCCTGGAGGTACGTTTCAGTCATCCTATCTGCCTTCCTTTCTGGAGAAGAAACGGATTCTTGCAGCCTCGAACTCTGGCTGGTGAGTCCCTGCCACTGAGGTGGTCGCTTTAGATGTGGCTGGCAGCTCTGTGTACTGGGTTCCTTCTGCCCAGAGGACTGATGAGGCTCCTCCCTCCACTGTGTGGCCTGCCTGCCCTCCCTGGGGGGTCCTTCCAGCTGGCCTCGATGGTTGGGGCTCTGTCCCCCATTCACCGGCTCCTGCTTTTCTGTTCTGGTTCTTTCTGCTTCATGAATAAATGGCTCTGGCAGCTTATGGCAGGAGACAGCGCTGTGTGGGAGTCAGGCGCCCTCCTTCCTGGCTAGCCTAACAGGGAGCTGGATTATAAACTCCCAAGTATGTCCCTCCCCCCCCCCAATCCAGTCCTACCCCTAAGCTGCTCTACATCCTGGTTCACTCTCCTTGGGCCTCCCTGGATGCTTCCATATTCCAATCTTCACATGAGCCCAGGAGGGAGGTGTTTCCCTGGGAAACGGTTAGCATCTCTACCCCAATGCCAGACTCTGTCTTAGAGGCCCCTGTGCCCAAGGCCACACAGGGATCCCAGGGCAGAGCTCTGAGTTGTTCCTGGGGACAGCAGGCCTCCAGCCTCTGGGCTCATTGCCCCTGTGACAGTGACTTTCTGCAGATGAGTCTGGCTGACAGCTATGTGGGATTAAGACAGGAGGACTTAGCAAGGCCACAAGAGGAGCCAGACGGCTGCGGGCCAGGAGCCAGCACACCTTCTGCAGTGGGCTGTCATGGGGAGGGAGCCTTGAAGAATGTAGGGAAAGAAGAGCAGAAGCCAGTGAGAAAGAGCAGAGGAATGGTCCTGTAATTCAAGCTACAGATTTGGGGAAGTAATCCAGATATTCAACATGGCTCAGCTTTCTGCATTGTAGGAACTGGGTGAGGTGTCTGTCTCCGTCTGTCCCTGGATTCCCTCAGATAAATACTGAGGAAAAGGAAGGAAGGGAAAGAAGGAGAGAAGGCCGCTCCCTCCATGGCCTTGCCCACCTTCTCCTTCCTCATATTCTATAGTCCTTGTAGACAAGCATAGACCCCCACTGCTGCTGGGAGAGCTACTGAGGGTGTGGGACAGAGAGGCAGAGACCAGGGTCCTGGGTAGCAATAGAGACAAGTCCCACCATGCTCCTGCCCAGTCATGGAGGAGTGGGAAGGAGGTGTTGCTCATCTATGTTGTTTCCAAGCCCAGAACGCGCCACAGATACACACACACACAGGGTTGCGTCTCTGAGCAGATCCTCCCAACTCCCCTCAGCACCCCAGAAAACACAATCTCCCCTTCACAGCTACCACAAATGGCAGGCTCTAGCTTCAAAGCTAGCCCTGAAATTAACTCTTTCCATGCCACCGTCGAACCAAAAGACGTGGTTCCAAGAGGCCAGAAATCCGTTTCATGGGCTATCAGAAGCGGACCCATGAGAACTGCGGCTAGGCTCATTTCTCCGCAGAGACCCCGCCATCGCTGGGCCCCACCAGGTGCTCCTACTTCTTGATCGTCACTCCAGCTGCGGCCAAGGAGGATTCCAGCTGGCTTCTGCCTGGCAGCAGGGGCTGACTGGCTGCCTCTGAGGTGGAAGGACATCTGGGGGACAGTGGGGCTTGTACCACTCACTGCCCAGGTAAGACCGAGAGTAAGATAAGCCAAGGGCAGGGGCAGAATTCCTTCCTGTGCCTTGAGGTTCTGACGGGCTCTAACGGAGGGTAAGGCCTCCAGGCTGGGCCTCAAACTAACCCTCCCTCCACCCCCACGGACCATCACCTCCTGTATTCCTCTCATATGCGGGGTGGTGGCCTTCCCACCCGGCAGTCCCTGAGCACCGGATGTGGTGGGAAGGTGTGTTCAGAGTGGCTGCTGCAAGTCAAGCAGAGGCAGCAGCAACTCTGCCCTAGGAGACTGACACTTTCAAACGCCTAAAATAACAAAAACGCAGGCATCATGTGCAGAGGAGGGCAGACACCCTCTACCAGCCTTTTGCAGCCCTCACACGATACATGCTTTGCCGTCCCACGCACACCCTTTCCAGACAGCCCCTGCAGGTCATAGCTCCTCTGCATCTTCAGTTAGAGCCCCGCCATGTTGTCCCACCCCCTCCTCCCCAGCCTCGACGACGACAGACCAAAGGCTCTTGGGGCACGTGTGCCACCACGCCCCTCAGTCACCCTCAGGGTGTCCTCCTCGGAGGGTACCCCCAGACCGGCCTTGACCGGTGAGCACCCGGGGGTGGCCGGAGTCCTCCCCGCCGCGTTCGTGCGGCGACCGCGGCTGGAAGGTGCCACTCACCCTGCGCGGTCCCCCGCGGTGCCGGGCGCGCGCAGCTCAGCGGAAGGCCAGCAGGAAGATCAGCACGGCGTTGATGAGGACCAGCAGCGCCAGCACGGCCGAGACCACCACGCGCTGGGCGCCCGGGGGCAGGTTGCAGCGCAGCAGGGCGCGCAGGGCGCCGCCAGGCGTCGCGGGGCCACGCCGGGGCTGCGGGGGCCTGGCCATCACGCCCGGCCAACCTCCGGGCTCCTAACGCCGGGAGATCCCAGCTCAGGGCTGGAGCCCGAGGCGCGGGAAAGGAGGCGGAGCTGCCTGCGCTCACCCGCCAGGCTCCTCCCTCTCGGCTCGCCGAGGGAGCCCGCAACTCCGGCTTTGGGGGAAGCGGGGCGAAGGCGCTGCAGAGGCGCGGGTGGGAGGGGACCTGTTAAAGTCGCGCGTCACGGCATTGCTGAGGTGCTTCCCCGGAAGGGGTCAAAGACTGACGCCTACACACTGTTTCTGCCAGGCCCTGCCAGATGACCACGGGAATCCTTGGTGGGGTACCCGGGACAGAGACGACTCAGGAAGTCCCTGGGGAGATTGCTGTGGTGAGGTGTGAGCCAGTTCAGTTTTGTCCTACAGCCCGGACTGGCTTAAAATCCATACAGATGACCTTGAACTTCTGATCTTCCTACCTCTGCCTCCTTGGAGCTGGGATTAAGGTATCCACCACCAAGCTTGGTTTACGTGGTTCTGTGGAACAAACACAGGGCTTCATGCTTGCTAGGCAAGAACTCTACTCTCTTAAGTCAACCACCCCCTGGGCCAAGGGTTCTTAATTCTAATAAGGCTGTTCTCTGGCATTCACTTCACGGACAAGTAACTGCGCCCCTGAAACATTAGGTAATTAGTTGTCATACAATCACCCAGTAAAACAGGGTAGTGAGTGAAAGGAGGATTTGAACCTGGGTCTGACTGGTCAGCCTCAACCACCAGAACAGGATTTTGACCCTTTGCACACGCAGCTGTCTTTGTCACTGGCAGCACCAAACAGAATCCGCAACCCCAAACGGGCAGAAGTCTCGGTCTTCCCAGCTTGCCCCTCTGAGACTGACTGTAGTTCTGAGGGGCAAGCACACAGCAGAGAAAGTAATGCTGTGTGTCGACAGCCACATACTCAGATATCCTAGAACCTGTGATCGCCCTGGGCCGTATGCACATCTGTGTGCAATGTGCACGCGCGTGTATCCGTGAGGAGAGACACTCGTGGGCACGTGTGTTGGTTATCTGTGCGAGCACAGTGTGGACCATCTACCTGGGGTTCCGCAGTTCTGCAGAGAATCTTGCGCACCAGGTTTGTTCCCCATTGCTTGGGGGTTTAGGGAACATGGTGATTGGAATAAGATGTCTTTCATAGTCTTGGGGCACGTGAACACTTGATTCCCATCTGACGGCCCTGTTCTGGGAAGCTCAGGAGCTGTGGCCTTGTTGGAGGGAGTACGTCACTGGGAGTAGGCTCTGAGAGTTTAAAGACTCACACCACCGTGCTCTCTAGGCTTACAGTTTGAGATGTGAGCTCACAGCTGGCGAGATGGCTTAGTGGGTAACGGTGCTTTCTACAAAGCCTGAGGACCTGAGACATGAGCTCACAGCATTCTTGCTGTTGCAACATGCCTTCCACCTGCTACCATAATTCCCTGCCCTGATGGACTCGTGGCTCTGGAATCTAAATCCAAGTAAACTATTCTAGAGTTGCCTTGGCCTAGGGTTTTATCACAGCGATAGAAAACTAATACAGAGAGAATTAGAAGACATCTAAATGCCACTGGCATTCCATTCCTAACTTTTCTCTAAGGCTGGGGACCTGCCCTCTATGGAGTAAAGCTGGGAATCCATGACTTGTGTCAATGTTTTATTGTGTACTGCGGTTCCAGAGTGACTGGCCACCCAGGAGAGAAGGTACCCTTTTCATCCTCAGGCCCCTGAGCACAGTGGGGTCTATGTCCCTGAACTAAAACATTCCGTCCTTGAAGGAAGTTCTCTAAGACTCAGAAAATAAACAAAACTTAGAAGACTCGGTATGTGAACAACTCACAGTTCTCAAAAAGTTCCTAAGACATACA